AGTGGCCCGGAAATGCCCCTCTGTGCCCCGTTGGAAGCCAGCCGCCGGTTCCCGGAGCTTCCTATCGTGCCCCTTGCTGGCCTCCTCTCGGCCGCCCGCCGCGTTGACGTCAAGCTGCGCGAGTCTGGACAGGCCGTGCGTAATACCGACTTGTGAGCAGAGACTCGGGCTCAAGCACCTCGGCGCTGCCCTGCGCCAGACGCGGCCCGGGCCCAAGGAGCCCGGCCTGCAGCGTCCGAGTGCAGACCGCAGGCCCGGCTCCGAGAGCACTGCAGAGGGAGGGGCCCGACAGCGCAGGTCGCCCTGGTGGCGCAGACCCGCTCCAGGGGCCTCATCAAGCTTTGCACGTGTTTTGCCCACCAAAGTTATGGGGGGCCCTGAGAGTTGGATGACAGGCTCCACAAGCCATATCTGGCCTGTGAGCCAGGGCTCGAGCATCCCTGGTATAGATAAGATCTTCAGGGTCACCCTTAGGTGTGTGGGTGTGTGCGTTGTTTTTCTCTCTCTACCGCCTTCAGTTTCTTTCTGCCCCAGGCTTGACTGGGCAGGAAGGATTGCAACCCTGCTCTGGAGAACAGAGAAGGTGCAGGGACAGTTGTAGACAGGGAGCAAGCTACCTTGGGAGGGGAGGAGATGGGCATGGCAGGGAAGGCAGTGAGGGGGGCGGGAGAGGGAGCAGAACATAAATTGCACCCAGACATATTCAGGTTTCTGGAAATTCCCTTCTGCTTGTATCTCCTGCACTGTCCCTACAACTCGGGCATCCGAGCTGTTGGCGGATACTGCCTCAGGGATGATTTCAACAACAGGTGCTCTGGTGGGCATGATGATCTGCATGCAGCCCTTGCCATAATCCTCCACCCCAGACAGGTTCAGTAGTCAGGCTGTCCTGGGCAAAAGGTGGAGCCATTTTCACAAGGAGCAGGAACTCAGCCTCTGCTGCATGAAGTCCTTAGCGGAGGTGGGAGTGGTTGCACTGGCATCACTACACTTGTAAGCATTGGATCCAAATCAGAGGGATAGTCTGGCTGTAGGAGTGGCAGGGGACAGAGCAGCGGGAGGGAGTCAGCCCATGTAGCCCAGAGAAAGGACGCCGAGTTGCAGAGGAAGTGAAGGAACCCCTATGTTCTGAACAGAAACAGGTAAGTGCCTCAGGGCCCTTTGGGGAAAGAGGTTCTGCAGGGCAAGATTAGCCTTGGGAAAGGCTCCCTTTGTTGTGGAGCAGACGCTCATGTGTTTTGATTTGTATATATACCAGAGGAGGAGGTTGTGGCTATAGGGGTGGAGGAGGCCACTGAAAAGGGTGCCCACAGGCACCCCATAGCTTAGGTGCTGTTGTTGGCAGAAGGGCCCTGGTGGTCAGGCAGCAGAGACTGAGGGCGCAAGCCCAGAGCCCATGAGGGGTGAGGCATAGCAGAGACAGGGTGTAAGCCCAGGGCTTGCAGAGGGTGAGACCAGGGGCCCAGAATCCAGGAAAGGAGAAATGCAACAGATTGGGGCACAAGCCCAAAACTCATGAGAGTGAAACCAGGGGCTGAGCCGCCCAAGGTCATGAAGGCATGGCCAGAACCGAGGCCTGGTAGCTTGCGATCCTAGGGCAGCAGACTTCAGGCTGAAGGGCTCAGCTAAAGTAAAGTGGGACGAGGCCAGGAGGTCTCAGCCAAGACAAAGGCCTAACTTCCAAAACCCACTTGGCCCTTTAAGGGCAGCTTCCCTGTCAATTTGTAACATCAAAGTGTGGCAGGTAAGATAACAGGGTGGGATCTTGAGGCCAAAAGGGGCAACAAAGTGAGGCCTGGGCAGTGGCCAGGAGACCGGGCAGGGCTTTGCTACCCCAGTACAGGGTTATAGTGTCTTAGCTATAGAGATGCTGCACTGCTACTGCTAGGACAGCAGCTGTCTAAGTGTTGGCAAGCGTTCTTAAAACCAGTCCGAAGAGATTAGGTTTAGTCAGTTTAAGCTAGCGTGAGGACAGGCTGGAATGGTTCCAAATTGTATTTCTTCTGCTGTCCCAGAGTGGTCCCTTGGCCCATCCTGCAAAATCTAGAGCAGAGGTACAGCAAACCTTGCAGGTCTCCAATCCAGATGCCCCAGCTCTGTAACAGTACAGGCAGCCAGTACATCAAGTGCTCTAGTGTAGGCCCAGCACAGACCAGGCTAAAGGAACAGACTCACTGTCACAGACTGTTAAGGATGCTTTATAATACAAGACAGCATCTGCATTTATCTTACAGCCGCACAGACTTTCTACTCCTCTTCCTCTAGGATTGCTTTGGCAGCAGTGCATCCAGGGTACAGAACACACTGAGCATGTCAATACCGGGAGTTGGAACAAGAGCAAAATTACAAACCTGCCTGGGGGGCAGAGATGGTCAGTCCTTTTGCCTGAGGCTCTTTCTTACTGAAGACAAAGGCTGGTTTTAAAAAAAAAGTTGCCTAAACCATAAATTAAACAGCCATTTCACAAGATCTGTGTTCTGTGGGGATCCCATTCCACCTAGAGAAAAATAGAAGAGGTGCTCCCTTAGAAGCTTAAAAACTGCTCTCGAGGTGAACAAACCCATCTTCCAGGAAGGAAAGAACAATTAAACTATTTCCTTTAAGACTGTTCTGAGTTGCAATAGCATCAATCAGGTCAAGAATTTTTTTCCAACAGATATGCAATTGTTAGAGCACAGCCTTCAAACTTCACTTACGGGATATAATGAGATACTATTTATTATTAATAGACTTAATAAAAATACCAGTGTTGTAGAAATATATTGTTGCTTTTTTTTTTGTAGTCAGTGCCAATAGCTTGATTTTTGGTGCCACAGCTGGGTTTAAAAGTGTCTATAATCCTTGAGCAGGAATCCTACATGCCTTAGGGTCCTAGTCAACAATACAAGTTCTGCAGTCTTAAGTCCTTGATGGGACAGTAAATGTTGGCATTCTTATATCACCTCAAGTTTTTAGAACGTTTTCTTGTTTTGGACACAGGGCGTGTCTACATGAGATGCTGACTGCAGTAACTGAAAAATACTGCACAGTGGTGCATCACAGCATGGACAGTGCTAATACTAAATAAATGCACAGTAATGACTGCACAGTAGC